TATGGAAAGGTTGAGTGATATTGGTTTGCTGAACGGAACACTGATGGAAAAGACACTACTCATGTAAACGATCCCAAATAATGTCCCGACCCACTATACGCTCAACCATCGCCGTCTCTCCAAACTTCCCATCTGACTCAACAACCGGCTAACCTCCTCTACCTCTATTGTTACGCTAGAATAATTTTTGGAGGGGTAAATATGAAAAGATTGAGTGTTGTTGGTTTGTGACACGCCAAAACACAACACCAATCTGCGACCAAGTGTAATCGCAGACCGGGAATGCAGTAACAGGCAAGTTATATTATCAACCCGGGCTCTAGATCTACTGCTTACTCAGTGATTCTCTGTTATCTAGCCAACTAGAGTAAGTGATTGTTGTTTAAACTAAAAGCAGAAATAAAGCAGGAAATTATTCGGTTTTCTTAAGCAGGAAAGAGTCACTCGGGAATGAATCCCCCTAGCTCCTTAGTTAGGTTCAATTGCAATTTACCCTGGGTTGATTTACTGTTGATTAGACTGCGGAAGATCCGACAGTAGCTTGGAATCTCTTAAGCTGACCAAGCCCTCTCAGTCTAACTACCCGGCAGACGACTAGTCTTCACCGGGATAGAAAGCTGAGGCTATGAACACAGAACTCCACTACTGGCGCCAAGAACACCAGTACAAAGCAGTAAACTGGCTAACTCTCGTATAGCCAACCTCCTACTATCGAATGAAGAGGCTCTAACAACCTAATCAGATTCTATCTATCTCAGGTTGAAGCAGAAATTGAGACAAGCTGATCAGACTCAAATCAATTCATGAAACATGCATCATTCGATTAAAATCAAACAGTAGTATCATCCCAAGTCATTACAATCTAATCCCTAACACAAGGAACTAGGGTTCTTCATACCCAAGTGAGAGAAGGGTTCTACTCCATAGAGAGAGAAAAGAAAACAGTAATCGGAGTAGTCATACTCATAATGATGAGGATAATCTGCTCCGGGATGATGATTTCCACTCCTAGGACGATCTCCAAGCTTGATTTGATGAAACCCAGCTCCAAGATGGCTTCTAGGGTGAGTTCTTCGCACTTTCTCTCTCTGAACTCTGTTTTTGCTCAAAAGGTCCGATTCCCCCCACTTCTGGCTCGGATTAGGCTTTAAAACCGGGTTTTCCCGAGTTGCACGGCCAGGGTGCACGGCCGTGCACCTCACCATTCTGGCCGTGCACCCTGAAACGCAGCGTATCCCTTAAGTCGAACTCAGGCTTCTTGCACGGCCAGGTGCACGGCCGTGCAATCTTCAGGGCTTGCCCGTGCAGCTCCTCGGCATGAGGCGCACGGCCAGCTTGCAACCGTGCACGGCCGTGCAGCCTCCTTGGTCTGCCCGTGCAGCTCCCAAAAACCTCGCCACTCGTCCGTTCTTCGTCCAATCGACCCCAGACTCGCTCCTAAGCCTTCATTCACGTACTAGGACCTGAAATATCACAAACAAGCACAACCTAGCGTGAAATCGGCCTAAAACACGAGAATCAACACCTCAAACGGTGTAAGAACGGGGGTAAAAACATGTGTAAATGACGGTCTATCAAACTCCCCCACACTTAACCGTTTGCTTGTCCCCAAGCAAACCAAGTCAGACACTAGGTAAGCTTACATATTTCAATCAACCAACATTGGGGACAAGTCATAAAGGCACAGAACACGTGAATCGCACTGGTTTTCAAACATCAATACATGCACAACCTCAATAACAACCTGGACAACCACCACAAAGGACATTCGAGTGCAGCAAATCGAGTAAAGGAAGAGTCTCCCGTCTGTTCACTGGCCAACCTAGACTTGATTCAACCACTTACTCAAAACAGTCAACTCATGCATCCAACTCAAGACATCAGAATAGAGACCGAGCAATCTAGGTCCTCACCGGGGTACAAGAGCATATAGAAAATGAAAATGAATCACTCACTCTCGACCAGTGGGGTCAGGACAATTTGATGCGAAAGATGCGCATGCTATTTCTCTCAATCCCTATCATCTCTTCACCATGATGGCAGCCTCTAAATGCTAGAGTTCACATATGGGGTGTCACCACTAACTAATCAGGAGGTCTTAGACACAGGTTCAAATGACTGGCTAGGGTCTTGGACATGGGGAAAAGGCCTTTTAGGTGGTGGAAGTATTCATAGCAAAAAGGTTCCACATTTCCCGAACACACAAACACAGTCAGCAACCCGGTATTTTCTTTCTGCTATCCTGCATTACTCAATATCTTAAGAGCACAAGAGCGAAGGAGGCATAAACATCAGCATTTCCAAGCCAGACTGCTAAGAAACACTACTTACTGGGCATTATTCAGATTGTTAGTAGTGGCTCTCTTTTGCTTTCAATTTTTTCTTTGTTTTTCTTTTATTTTTCTTTTCATTTCTTAAGAGAGCCACCACTCCTGCACATATTTCAAACATCCGCCAACTTTTAAGCACTACCTCCAACACTCACATAGACTTTAGCAGAAACAGCAGAGAATATATAAAAACCACTCTGTGGAACCTTCTAAAAGATGCAACAAGGGTGATTTCTTTTCATTATAGACCAAAAGAAAGGATAACACACGGCTCAACGGGGCTGACTAGGGGATATGACACATCAGGACAGTCAGTTTTGGGCGTGGGCTAATCCTATGCCCCCATCATCTTAGCTAGTGACAACGTGAATGCGACACATCATGGAAGAGGGATCTATCGCACAAGAAAGAAACGAGCAGGCTCAAATCTCACATGGCTACCTATATGCTCTATCTCACATTCTGATACCCTGAACTAGATGCATAAACGACTGTCAAGTACAAGTAATCAGATCAAGTCACAGTTGTCAAGCAAACAGTTGAAAAACTGAACCCCTACATCGTTCTACTGCACATCTCAGTCCTCATCATAGGTTGTCCTAGTCGCAAACAAGTTGTCATGCATTAATCCAAAAACCAATCAATTCATCCATCAAAACACAGTGCCAATATGATCAAACAGCAGTACTTGGAGCCCTCAAATCGTAAGATTCGGACAGCGGACTAGGCTCCAAGCACCATCATAAATATTCCAATCGATACAAAGCATCCCCCCACACTTAAGAACGACATTGCCCTCAATGGAGCAGAGGGAAAGATAAGGGGAACGATGTTACCGGGTAAGAACACTGCTGGGGGACTGGAAGTGGAACAGTCAGCGAGAAACGAACGGGAGAGTGGACAATGCTGCACAAATCGAACATCAGAAACACACTAGCACACTGGCGTTAGGGATAAGTGTTAGCCCAGACGGCTACATCAAACCACAAAGGAAAAACCAAAACCAAAAACAAACGACACTAAGTTCAAGCTCCGCACACATGGAGCAAACACACAAAAGTCTAAAAAGAAAAAAAACAAACAAAACAAACACACTGAGACGGGCAACGAGTACAGCCTACTCGTCGCCAAGATCGTCGAGGTCGATGTCGGTCATGAACGCATCATCATCAGCAGCGCCAGCAGTTCCATCATCACCGTCATGTGGAGGGGAGTCATCCCAGGGAGTCCTCCAGACAGGTGGCTCGCCCGGGAGCAGCTGGAGCAGGTGCTGCTGGACCTCCTGCATGCGCCGTGAACGGCGCCTCTCACGCTCGATGTGGGCGAGAGTCACACCCTGCTGGGTTTGGATCGTGTTCAGCCGCTCGTCATAAGCATCCATCCTGGTCCGGTACTCGGCCTGGTCGGCCGCATACTGCTGATGGAACTGCATCTACTGATCGAGGAGCAGCTGGTTCTGGATCCTCAGCTGCTCGAACTGCTGGGCGAAGTAATCCTGGCCCTGGAAAGCGGAGCTGCTACCCCCGAAATGGAAGTCAGTCTGTGGGGGATTATCAGCAGCATCAGCAGCGGCATCCACTTCCTCGGGATCCACCTCATCGGCAGCCTCCTCCTCCTCTGGTACAGGCTCCGCGGGGATCGGAGGCTCCGGAAACCCATCGACCCATTGAACACCGTTCCTCTCCCGCAACAGCAGCATCTTCCTGATCGTCGTGCTGCCAAAGATGAGGGTGTCCCCCTCCTCGGTGCACCCCTGCAGTGAAAGGCCAAAGAAGGTGGCCAGGCGGGTGATGAGGGGGGCGCAGTGGAGGCTCTTCAGCTCTGTGGCCGTCTTCTCGAAGGTCTTGGCCACCACTGAACCTAGGTGGAGAGGATGGCGGTGCTGGCGGATCGAATGGAGGAAGTACAGGGGCCTCTTCGTGATGTTGCCGGCGCTGTCAGCTGCAGGAGTGTAAGACTTCGCCAGCAGGTGGTGGAGAAGTCGGTTGTCGATCTGTAGGGTAGAGGCCTTCGTCCTCCCGGACCGGAAGGGACGCTTCTGGCCTGGCCGAGCCAGGCTGGTGTACAGCCTCCCGAAGTCCACCTCCGGTGGCTCATTCACCTCGGTGACGTAGTCCTCACGGTCGTCGAGGTTGAGGTCGAGAGCCTCGGCCAGCTCGTGGTAGCTCAAGGACCGGGGGACCCCGCCCAGCCTGAATTGGACGGCCGTACCGTCCTGCCAGTTGTCCGTGGTATTGTGCTTGAAGGTCGTGTAGAACTCCCACACCGGCTCGTAATAGACCTTCTCGCAGAGCTGGAGCAGACGGCGCCAGGCGGTGTTGGCGACCGCGGCGGAGAGCTGCTCGTAGCAGTGCAATCGCCGAAACTCCCGTTTGGACCAGCAATGGTGTGACCCAAACGGGGTTTCCACGACCTCCTTGAAGCGCTCTGCGGTGGGTCCCCTCCTCAGATCCCGGATGAAAGGGTGCTGGAAATTAGGTTTCGCCATTGCCCTGCAAAACAACAACCCAAAGTGGAACCCAAAAGAGCCAAAGAAAAAGGTCAAGCACACCCCCACACTTAAGAACAGAAAACAGCCTAACCATGGTTTCATCCATAGTTCGGGGGTCAAAAGCTCGATAAATCAAGCAGAATCAGGGTGGGGGTGCACATTCACAAGAAAATAGGGAACTCAAGGTTCACATCCATAGCAAATACACCCTCAAACTACATCATTAAGGGCCCCAACCGGTGGCCACAACAGGGCATGGAAAACAGGCATTTCAGCGAACACCTTGTGTGCACTACTAAGTTAAACATGAAATTGGCCAAATTCTTGCACACAAGGGCTTAAACAATCAAAGGGGACTTTGCCCAACATAATTCAATCACATCCCATGCATTCCCCTCAATCAATTTCATAAGATTCACATGATTCAATAAGGTTCTCTAACATACACCCTACACACTCAATTCTCCACAATTAACATAGTTAGGGGCAAAAGCAAACCTGGAGACTCAAGTAGAGGTGTAGGGAATGATGAGGGGAAGACAATGGAAGTGACGAAACGCCGAAAAACTGGCCGGAAATGCTCGTCGGACTCTCGCCGGAGTCTCGCCGGAAATCGCCTCCGGCGACTAAAACGTCGCCCAAACTCGCTCAAAATCGAGGGATAGGCCGCTTTGGGTGTAGAAAGAGTGGGTTTGTAGTTGGTTTGGTGAAAAAATTACCCAAAGTGGCCGAAAAAAAATCGAAAAAAGGTGGGTTTTGCGCGGTTTTCTGGCGAGGGCAGAGGATTCCGGCGAGTGGTTTTGGTTTTCTGACCACAATGGCCGTGCAGGCCATATAAATAGGCCGTGCCTCGGCTGCACGGGCATGGGCGCACGGCCGTGCAAGGCTGGTTTTTGCCCGTGCAGCCGACACGGCCTGGCCGAGGAGAAGCGCACGACCGTGCACCTGGCACATATGGCCGTGCCATCCTTACTGAGAGCTCGCACGGCCAAGGGGGAATACTCGCACGGCCATGCGAGGCATTATGGTGCCCGTGCAAGACGCACGGCCAGGCCAGGACGAGCGCACGGCCGTGCAATAAGCGCTTTTGGCCGTGCGCTTTTGGCCGAGAGCTCGCACGGCCAAGGGGGGTGCCCGCACGGCCGTGCAAGTTGTGGTCCTGGCCGTGCGACTTGTTGGAGTCCCGAAATCAACCTGTTTTCACTCAAAAACGACACTGGACTCTGGATCAACGTCTCAAGACTCAAAAACACACAAAATCAAAAGAAAAAGAGTAAGAAAATGCAAACCTCAGTGGGGTTGCCTCCCCACAAGCGCTTCTTTACCGTCTTTTAGCTGGACGCCAGTATGGATGCTCAGGGAAGTGTAGGATCAGGTGCCTTCAAGAGCAGATCCACATCGCTCTTGAGGTACAGCTTCAAATGGTGGCCATGCACGCGACGAATGTGGCCACCTGCATTCGCCAGCTCAACTTGGCCATCCGGTAGGATGCAAGCGAGTGAATACTCGGATGGCCAAGGAGGGGGCGGGACCAGCTCATAGTGGTCTCCGGCTTCCTTTCGAGCAGGCTTAGCTGCCTGCAGTTTCGGCCGCCACTCCTCCTTGATCTGTTCTTTGGGTGACGGAGTGGTCCGGAGCGGCGGCGAAGGTGTGGGAGGCGGTTCCTGCAAAATAGGCAGCACAGAAGGATACACGACAGACTCGTGCTCCTGGTGAGAAACAGCATGCAGTGGTGACGAAGCAGGTATAGTATCAGCAACAGAAAACGTTATTCGCTCCTCGCCATCCCTCAAAACTAAGGTCCCATCATGCACATCTATGAGAGCCTTGGCGGTGGCCAGGAAAGGCCTTCCCAGTATAAGAGGCACTTCTGTGTCCTCACTGATGTCCAAGATAACAAAATCCACGGGATATGTGAATTTGCCAACCTTAACCAGAAGGTCTTCCACTATACCCCTAGGATGCACTACAGATCTGTCAGCTAATTGAAGGGTCATCCTAGTAGCACGGGGTTCACCTAGGCCTAGTTTCATGAACAATTTATATGGAATAACATTGATACTAGCACCTAAATCCGCCAAGGACTTCTCTACATGCAATTTATCAATAGAGCACGGGATAGTAAAACTACCTGGGTCCTTCTTCTTCTGCGGAAGTTTGTTTTACAGAATAGCCGAGCATTCCTCGCTGAGCTCTACCGTGGCCAGCTCACTCAGCTTCTGCTTCTTTGAGAGAAGCTCTTTCAGAAACTTCGCATACTGATGCTCTAAAACACAACACCTAACAAAGGCCAAGTGTAACCAATGAAAGGGAATGCAGTATAGTGGCTCAAGTGATAAATATCGAATCCACGGGTCTCTAGAGTTACTATTACTCAGCTTCAGTTTATTATTTAGCAAATCAGATTAAGATGAAAGAACTAAAACTACTCTAGCAAACTACAGTTAAAGTTAATCTAATTACAGGTAGGGAACTCACTTAGGTATGATTCCCCCTAGCCACTAGCCAGATTAATGATTGATGATCTCTAACCTGTTTCACTTTCATTCACAATGCGGAGAATCCTTGACTAGACCTTGAGTCTCGACTAAAGGAACAAGGCCCTCTTGAGTCAATTGCCTAGAGGGACGTATCCTTCTCTAGAACAACTGATCAAGGCGTTCTGAACTAGACTCCCTCTATCGAAAGAGGTTCTCAATCGATACAAAGCAGTGAATCAACCCTCGACTAAAGCAATCGATCCACTACTATCAATCTATGGTGCTCTATTGACCTAATCAGGTATTCCCTCTCATAGAATCAAAGCAGAATCAATAATCTCGACTAAAGCAGAATTGAATCATGAAAACATGCATAGATTGAATATGAACTCAAGATTATCAAGTCAGAGTACTCATACAATCATCCAATCAAACAAACATAGCTAGGGTTCCTCAAAACCTAAGTGAAGGGAAGTTACTCCATAGAGAAGAGAGAGACTGCAGTAAGAATCTTCAGATGATCAGTCTTCAAGTCCGGGCTTGTTCCTCGAGCTTCCAAGGCGAAGAAATCCTCCTTCTCTACTCCAAGAATGCCCTCAAATCGCCCTCTCTCTCTAGGGTTCGTCCCTTGGATGTTTGGGATCCAAAACCCAGCTCTCCCTCTCCTTTGGCTCGAATTTGGGTTAAAAACAGCCATTCCCGACTCGCACGGCCAGGGTGCACGGCCGTGCACATCACCATTCTGGCCGTGCACCTCAAAACGCGGCGTATCAATTAGTTGAACCTCAGCCAACTCGCACGGCCAGAATTGTATGTTGCACGGCCGTGCGTGGCCACGCACAATCCCGCACGGCCAAACTGGTCACTTGCACGGCCGTGCGTGGCCACGCTGGTCTGCCCGTGCAGCTTGCTCAGCCTCTGTTTAATGCTTCGTTTCTCCCTCGTCCGGACTCCGAATCAATCGCCGTTTGATCCCAGACGCTCGTAGTCTTGTCCTCTTTCGTTTCATAACAAGCTTGCATGATTCTTCGTCCATAAAGTGAGGTAGAAATCCATTCTTCTTCAGGTCATGCCCGAGTTTCTTCTCTCGAATCGTCAATTGATCTCTGATTGACTTGAAACTTGCGCCTATGCTTCACTTTATGTGCTAGGACCTGAAATGGGACAAAGGAACACAACCTATCATAAAATAGGCCAAAGACGCAATAATTCAAGCTCAAACAATCAAGAAACAAAGGGGAAAACATGTGCAAATACCGAGTCATCACATACTTTGGCATTTGCGATAGTGCCTCCAGGAAGGGCACTTGGACATTCAGCTTCTTAAGCATGGCCATGAAGTTCTCGAACTCTGCCTCCAGCCTGTCTTTGTGCAACCGAGTAGGGAAAGGGAGTTTAGGGACATACTCCTTCACTACTGGTTGCGGTTTAGGTGCAGCCACCTCAACTTCCTTCTCTACTTCCTGTTCAACCGCTGGAGCCGCTAAGACAGGGCTTTCTTTCTCCGGTTCCCGAGCAGGGGGATCAACAGTCATCTTACCACTCCTGGTCATGATGGCATTGCAGCGCTCATTCCGGGTCGGCGGGTGAGGGATGGTCTGCCCTGGTAGAGTACCAGGAGCCCTTTGAGCCACTGCCTGGGCCACGCTCCCCAGCTGGGTCTGGATATCCTGCAAATCAGCCTGTGTATTCCTCTGACCAGCTTCCAAAGCCAGGAGTTGACCCGAGGCCTTCTCCATGAACTGCTCAAAGGTGTTGAATTTCTGAGCACTAACACTGGCAAGAGAACCCACCAAGTCCCGCAGTTCAGCCATCTGATCATTCTGCACTGGGGCAGCAGGGGCTGCACCTGGCTGCTGGAATTGCCCCTGTCTGGGCTGATATGGTGGCCTCTGGAAGCCCGGTGGTCCCTGTGGAGCTGGTGGTCTGGGATTTGGCCCAGCCCAGGAGAAGTTAGGATGCTGGCGCCACCCCTCATTGTACGTGTTGCTGTAGGGGTCATTGCGCCTGACATTGTTGATGAAGTTCACCTGCTCCTGGGGTGTGGTCGATTCCTTCATCGCCTGGCAGTCTTCCACCATATGATGGGTGCTCTCGCACCACTGGCAGAGCATCGCCTGCTGCTGTCCGGTCCCTGGAATCATCCTGGAACGATCGATAGCTGAGACCAGCTTCGATACTACCTGCACCAAATCAGATGACTGGGTGCCCACAGCATGCACACCCCGGCCTGGTGCTTTCCTCGATCTCCTGGCAGTGCCCCAATCATAACCATTCTCCGCCATCTCTTCAAAGAGTTGATTCAGCTGTGGCGGGGTTTTGGTCAGCATGTTCCCGCCACAAACCGAATCGATCAGCTGCTTGTCCTCCGGGAAGAGGGCGTGATAGAAGGTGCCCACCTTGAACGCATCGTTGAAACCATGATTGGGACACCTGAGGAAAAGACTGTTGTACCTCTCCCATGCATCCCTGATGGTCTCATCCTCATCCTGAGCAAAATGTGTAATTTGCTTCTGCAGGTCAGCTGTCTTGGATGCAGGATGGTAGCGGGTGAGGAACTTGTCCGCCAGGTTGGCGAACGTGGTGATGGATCCCGGAGATCGAGTGTCTAGCCACTCCTTGGCCTGCCCCTCCAGAGTGAATGGGAAGTACCTCAGCTGGATGGCATCTGCTGGTACCCCATTGATCTTGATTCCATCGATGAGCTCGTGGAATCGCCTGAGATGTGATCGAGGGCACTCTCCCTCCTTACCACGGAACACTACTGAACCGCGCAGCATGGTGATCACGGAGGTGCTCACCTCAAAGTTGTTGGCTGGGACCTGAGGGTGCTGAAGGGGTGACCTCATGTCCGCAGCCCTAGCGGTCCAATAGGAGCCCATGGTCTGCTCCTCGGGGATCACAGCATGGTTCCCTGGTTCAGCCATCTCTTCTTCTTCCTCCTCTAACTGCAGCTGTGATAGCGCCTCCTCCGCAGCCAGTCGCGCCTTTAGAGCCCGCTTGAAGTTTCTGCAGGTTCGTTCAAGCTCCTGGTCTAGTGGTAATAGATCTCCCGACTGGCTACGGGTCATGCACTACCTGCACACAATCAGCAGAAACAACCCGTGAAGGCACACAGGTGGAAGAAATAAAAAGCAGAAAATAAAAAGCTAGAGTAACAAATTCTCACTTTTCCCCAATAACCTAGAGGGGTCCCCGGCAACGGCGCCAAAAACTTGACACGCCAAAACACAACACCAATCTGCGACCAAGTGTAATCGCAGACCGGGAATGCAGTAACAGGCAAGTTATATTATCAACCCGGGCTCTAGATCTACTGCTTACTCAGTGATTCTCTGTTATCTAGCCAACTAGAGTAAGTGATTGTTGTTTAAACTAAAAGCAGAAATAAAGCAGGAAATTATTCGGTTTTCTTAAGCAGGAAAGAGTCACTCGGGAATGAATCCCCCTAGCTCCTTAGTTAGGTTCAATTGCAATTTACCCTGGGTTGATTTACTGTTGATTAGACTGCGGAAGATCCGACAGTAGCTTGGAATCTCTTAAGCTGACCAAGCCCTCTCAGTCTAACTACCCGGCAGACGACTAGTCTTCACCGGGATAGAAAGCTGAGGCTATGAACACAGAACTCCACTACTGGCGCCAAGAACACCAGTACAAAGCAGTAAACTGGCTAACTCTCGTATAGCCAACCTCCTACTATCGAATGAAGAGGCTCTAACAACCTAATCAGATTCTATCTATCTCAGGTTGAAGCAGAAATTGAGACAAGCTGATCAGACTCAAATCAATTCATGAAACATGCATCATTCGATTAAAATCAAACAGTAGTATCATCCCAAGTCATTACAATCTAATCCCTAACACAAGGAACTAGGGTTCTTCATACCCAAGTGAGAGAAGGGTTCTACTCCATAGAGAGAGAAAAGAAAACAGTAATCGGAGTAGTCATACTCATAATGATGAGGATAATCTGCTCCGGGATGATGATTTCCACTCCTAGGACGATCTCCAAGCTTGATTTGATGAAACCCAGCTCCAAGATGGCTTCTAGGGTGAGTTCTTCGCACTTTCTCTCTCTGAACTCTGTTTTTGCTCAAAAGGTCCGATTCCCCCCACTTCTGGCTCGGATTAGGCTTTAAAACCGGGTTTTCCCGAGTTGCACGGCCAGGGTGCACGGTCGTGCACCTCACCATTCTGGCCGTGCACCCTGAAACGCAGCGTATCCCTTAAGTCGAACTCAGGCTTCTTGCACGGCCAGGTGCACGGCCGTGCAATCTTCAGGGCTTGCCCGTGCAGCTCCTCGGCATGAGGCGCACGGCCAGCTTGCAACCGTGCACGGCCGTGCAGCCTCCCTGGTCTGCCCGTGCAGCTCCCAAAAACCTCGCCACTCGTCCGTTCTTCGTCCAATCGACCCCAGACTCGCTCCTAAGCCTTCATTCACGTACTAGGACCTGAAATATCACAAACAAGCACAACCTAGCGTGAAATCGGCCTAAAACACGAGAATCAACACCTCAAACGGTGTAAGAACGGGGGTAAAAACATGTGTAAATGACGGTCTATCAGTTTGGCCAACGCAGATGGAAAATGCGCTACTAATGTAAACGTGCCCAAAAACATACAGGAAGCTTAATTTGAAAAATCATAGGAATTTTCCATCACAGTTAGCTAAGCCACTAACTCTCCCCTAAATATTTTTTTGTATTTGATACTTCTATTTTCATACTTTGATTATTTTAATTCGAATTTAATAATTAATTCTATTTATATTTATCTTATAAAAGGAGAATAATTTTAAAATCGCAAGCCTATTGTCATTAGTGCAAATATTGCACATTGAATTTGCAATATTGAGTGTGTAGAAGCGATGCAGAATTCTTGACATAGACTTAAATAATATAACTACCATAAAACAACAATATTTTTGAACATAGAAGTTTTGAGTGGATATCGGGCACATGTGTCTTTAAGAGCGATAAATATGGAAAGGTTGTGTGATGTTGGTTTGTCGAATGCGAATTAGAAAGGCGCAACTAATGTAAATGGGTCTAAATGGTGTCCCGACCAACTAAACGCTCAACCATCGCCGTCTCTCTAAACCTTCCCACTGGAATCGACAACCGCCTAATCTCCTCCACCAATATTGTTAAAAAAGCAATTTCTGGAGGGGTTAATATGGAAAGGTTGAGTGTTCTTGCTTGGAGAGCTGACTGGTGGGTCATGTAGCTTCTTTGACAGTAAAGTGTGATCTCTTGACATCAGTTCATTTGGTTGATCTTCTAGGTTGACTTTTGAGTTGATTAAAGATAAATAGTGTCCCGACCTCCCGGCCTACTAAACGCTCAACCATCACCGTCATCAATCTCATTTTAGTGACGAAGCCGCCGAGGAGAAGAGAGGAATCGCCATTGGTACTCTAAAATTTACAAGGCTGTTATAATGATCATTCCTTTCATTTCATGTAAATTTGTATTATGATAATGATCGTTTGAATTAATGTGCACTGATGCAATTCATGTAGTTGCCACAAAGAAGGAGTAAGAGTGGGGGCAATCAGTGTGTTTGTTCTCGAGAAGGATAAAAATCATGATAATGGGGAGAGTTCATGACGATTGACTTATATTGATTGAAGAGATAGAAAGTACATAGTTGTAAGTCATTTGTGTGTTTAGTGTAGCAAAGTGGTTAGGTGTGATTTGGTAGGATTTTACAGTGATAGGGATATTTATAAAAGTTAATATGTGTTGGTGCTTGCAGGCATATATCGCTTGCCTGTTTCTTTTGTTTGTATATGAGATTTCTACATCAGATTCTACGCGTTGTATTTCTTTCTTCTTTTTTTGTTATTTTAATTAACAAAACTATTAATCATAAAAACTAGCTGACGTATTCCATCGGCATGATTTGGACATTGCTGATTTTTGTTTTCTCAACCAGAGATTCAACGCCTTTGGTGTCACTGTAGTTTTTGGTCCAAGGGCAATCTAGTTTAGGTTTTTCTTATGAAATCTCTTGGTGACTTCCATTTTACCATCGATAATTGGAGCCAAGTAAGCATCCTTCAATTTTTTCATGTTCACTCTAGGGGCATCATGGTGCATGGAAATAGTGGCTATATTTAAGGCTAATGGCTTGGTTTGGATTGTCCATTTGATGAATCGATATTTGCACGTATTTTTGTCCACCATTCTTATATTGTTTGAGGCTCAGACCTCGGGTTTTAAGTCAATTTTATGCTAGGTTGTTCTTGTTTATGACATTTCAGGTCTTAATTCGTGAATGAAGGTTTGAGCACGAGTTTGGGGTCGATTGGGTGAAATCGGGACAAGCGAAGGGAGATCGGAAAGGTTGTACGGCCAGGACGGGAAAGCGCACGGTCGTGCATGGTTGCCTTTATGAGCGTGCAGGATTTACCAAGAAGCTGCACGGCCTGGCCCTGTTTTTCGCATGGCCGTGCAATATGAATTGATGGTCGTGATGATTTATGCGAGAGGATTGCACGGCAAGGCTCTCGGATTGCACGGGTCGTACAATGGCCGTGCACCCCCTGGTGGGATTAATAGAAACAGTGCGTTTTGGGGGTGCACGGGCAGACTATGAGGTTGCACGGCCGTGCAGTCTGGCCGTGCGATCGCGGTCAGCTGCATAAAAACCCAATTTCGGGTTTTGGAGAAGTGGAATCGACTTTTTGGAGCAAAAACAGTGTCCTAGAGAGAGAAAGTGCGAAGAACAAACCCTATGATTAATTCTAGAGCTGGGTTTCATCAATCAAGCTTGGGTATCGTCCTTGGAGTGAAGATTATCATCCCAAAGCAGATTCTTCCCATCGTTATGAGTATGACTGCTTTGAATTATGTTTTCCACTATCTCTGTATGGGGTAGACCCTTCTCTCACTTGGGTATGAAGAACCCTAGTTCCATGTGTTAGGGATCTTGATTGTAATGAATTTTTGATTGAGTTACTGTTCGATTATAATCAATTGAAGTGTGTTTATTGAGTCAATTGGATCTTGATCAAATTCTCTTGATCTCTGTTGCAACCTGAGATAGATAGAATCTGATTAGGTTGTTAGAGCTTCTTCAATTGATAAGAGTGGATTGATTATACGATAGGTAGTCAATCCACTGCTTTGTACTGGAACCCAATTCCAGTTGTGGAGTTTTGTGTTCATTGCCTTAGCTTTCTATCCCGGTGAAGACTAGTCGTCTGCTGGTTAATCTGTCTAAGAGGACTTGGTCAGCTTAAGAGATTCCAAGCTATTTTCGGATCTTCCGCAGTTTAATCAACAGTAATTAAACCAAAGGAGCATGCGCTTTCCTGAAAGCCGAGGACTAATGCGCTTCCCAGAAATCCGCAGTTTAATAGCATGTCAAGTTTTTGGCGTCGTTGCCGGGGACTTCTAGATTATTGTAGAAACGTGAAAGTCTGTTACTTTAGCATTTTCTTTACTGCATTCTCTCTTCCACCTCTGTGCCTTCACGGGTTGTGTTTACATTCTGTGTGCAGGTAGTGCATGACCCGTAGCCAGTTAGAAAAAATACTATCGTTAGACCAAGAGCTTGAACGGACTTTTAAGAACTTCAAGCGAGCTTTAAAGGCGTGACTGGCTGCGAAGGAGGCTCTAGCACAGCTTCACATCAACCAGGAGGAAAACATGGGTGAGCCATAGAACAATGATGTGTTCATTCCCGAGTAGCACACCATGGGATACTACTGGACTGCCCGAGCCGCAGACATGAGGTCGCTCATCCAGCACCCTCAATTTCCAGCCAATAACTTCGAGGTGAGCACCTCTGTCATCACCATGCTGCGCGGCTCGGTGGTATATCGTAGAAAGCAGGGGGAGTGCCCCAGATCGCACCTATGGCAGTTCCACGAGCTGATCGATGGGATCAAGATAAATGGGGTCCCTGCCGATGCCATCCAACTGATCGAAGGAGCATGCGCTTCTCTGAAAGCCGAGGACAAATGCGCTTCCCAGAAATCCGGAAGACTGATGCGTTTCCCATAAAGCGAAGGAGCAATGCGCTTCCCAGGAAGCAAAGGATCAATGCGCTTTGATAGACCAATAATTACACATGTTTTTACCCCTATTCTTGAGCCGTTTGAGAGGTTGACTCTCGTGTTTAAGCCGATTTCACGCGAGGTTGTGTGTTTATGTCATATTTCAGGACCTGGCGTTGGAATCGAGGCGAGGAAACGAGTTTTGGGTCGAAAGGAGCGAAGTTGGGTTGAAGTGTGTTGCAGGAGGAAAATACCCGGTCGGGGGCTCAAATACCTGACCGGGTAATTATTGTTTTGGCACCCGTGAGAAACAGAGGGGCGCCCGGGCGTGAAGCTTAAATCCCCGGTCGGGGATTATTGGAGCAGACCGGGGATTTTCCCCTGGCACGAAACGCGCGTTTTAATAATACCCAGTCGAGACCCAAAATACCCGACCGGGTATTTCGACCGGGTATCGCGACAGGCAGCTGTTTTAAAGGAAAAGAAGGCCAAAGATCAAGGGGATTCAAGTTTTAGAGAGACAGAGCGATTCCTAGAGAGAGAAAGCGACGAACAAGAGTCTCCAAGTGCCCTAGCTTGATCTTCATCACCATTGGAGCTTGGCTTGAGCTTGGAGGAGTGCCAATCAAAGTCCAGGAGCAGGAATCCATCCTTCACAGTATGAATTCCGCGTCTGATTCTGCTTTTGCTTCTTTCTCCATGGAGTAGTTCTCCCATTCATCTGGGTATGGAGAACCCTAGATTTGTATGTTAGGTTTGATTGTATGAACCCAAGTACTGATTCTATGATTTGATTATATTCAATTGAGGTTTGAATGATTGAATGGCATGAATCCTGATCAAATTCCTGTTGTTTCTGCTTTAACCTAGAATGAGAATATCTGCCTAGGTTGATAGAGCATCCTTGATTGAAGGTAGGGAGTTGGTGACTTTAGTCGAGGAGCCAACTCACTATTCTGTACCGAATTTACGTCGGTAGTGGAGGTTTTGTTTGTTAGGGCCTCAATCTGTTTACTCCGGTGGAGGTTAGTCGCCCGCTAGAGACTCAGATTGAGAGGGTCTGAAGACCTTTAGTCGAGACTTCAGGCTGTTTAAGAACCTTCCGCAGTATAACTATCATAGAAACTGAACTTGGTAATTACAATCCGGCTTAACTGCAGTCTAGGGGGAACCATATCCGGGTGACCTCTCTTAACCTGAATACAACCATTTAGTTGCTTTGCTTGTTTGTTAGTTTAGACTTGCATTAAAGTTTCATTGATAGATAACAAGAATTCACCGAGTAGTCATCAAATCTAGGACCCGGGTTGACATTTAAACCCAAACTCGCTATACTACACTTTAGGAAGTGGTTTCACTTGGCCAATTCCTAGAGTGACAGTAGAAGTGAGTCAAGTTTTTGGCGCCGTTGCCGGGGACGGCTAGGTTGTTGAAGAAAAGTGATTTCTGTTAATTTAGCTTTTCTTTTCGCTTTGTTTGCTTTGTCCCACTTGTGCCTTCACGGGTTTGCTTGCTTGAGTGTGTGCAGGTAGTGCATGACCCGTAGCCGGTCGGGAGGTTTACTACCGTTGAATCCAGAGATTGACCGCACCTGTCGCCAACTCAGGCGACAACAGCGAGCTAGACTGGCTACGGAAGAGCGCATAGACGGCCACCTGAGTAGAGATTCTGAGGAAGAGTACGGGATGGACGGAGAATACAATCCACACCAGGGGAATCCTCAGCAGGCTCCCCCGGTGAATAAGGTCCTGGGGAACAACCCCATACCCCAGGCAGATGGGGTTCATCATCATCACCAGCCGCCGGGTCCCACCTTGGAGTACTACTACACTCCACGGATTGCTGACATCCGCCCGGTCATCCTCTACCCGCCTATTCCAGCAAACAACTTCGAGATCAAGCCATGCTGGATTCAGCTCATTACATCCTCTATCCAGTTCCATGGCTTGAAGGATGAGGAGGCCAGGGTACATCTTTCCCGTTTTCTGCAGCTGGCGAACGGGTTCAAACTGAATGGTGTCCCCGATGGTGCAATCCGCCTTCACCTTTTCCCCCATTCTCTGGCGGGGAATGCTAAGAGGTGGTTGGAGACCCAGCCCCCATTGTCCATCACCTCTTGGGACGATCTGACTGACAAATTCGTGCACATGTACTATCCGGCATCGAAGACTACAGAGATCCAGCGGGAGATCACTCACTTCCGCCAAGAGCCAGATGAGTCACTTCGTGATGCTTGGGAGCGGTACATGGGATATTTCTGGCAGTGTCCCCATCATGGCTTCAGTGATGCATTCACAGTGGGGAACTTCTACAGTGCTCTCTCTCCGGACAGCCAGAGGGTGATTGAGTCTCTATGCCCAGGAGGGGATATTCTTACTAAGACTCCACCCGAGCTGAACCAGATGATCAATACCTTGGCTGCCAGAGATCATTCTTGGGGGCAGAGTAGCTGAGGCAGACATTCCTGGAACCGTGGTGTGCACGCCATGGAGACTAGATCCGGGCTCGAGCAACATGTAGCTGAGTTGGTGCAGACATTGAAGCAGCCCAACAGTCTTATTCCGGGCAGAGGTTTGGCTACACCTCCAGTAGCTCAATGTCAGTGGTGTGAGAGCTCAAATCACTTAGTGGAAGACTGCCAGGCTATGAGGGAGTCTACTACTCCCCAAGAGCAGTTGGACTTCATCGCCAATGCTCGGCGCCTCAACCCGTACAACAACACATATAATGAGGGGTGGCGCCAGCATCCCAATTTCGCCTGGAGCAGCAACACCACTAAACCACCTGGTTTCCCAGCACCAGCCGTTGGTTTTCAGCAGAGGCAGCCCTTCCAGGCTCGACAGGGGCCAGCCCCACAGCAGTAGCCCTACCAGCCTAGGCAGGGGCAACCATTCCAGCAGCCCCAACGTCAGTATGCCGAGCCAGCAGCAGCTCCGGCTCCAGATACTCAGATGACGAAGCTGGAAAATATTCTAGCTTCATTCATGACTAGCACTCAGGCAACTATCACGAGGTTGGACCAGAGCTTGGCCTCACTGGAGGCAGGTTAGAGGAACCAAGGTGCCATCTTGCAAGATCTGCAGAACCAGGTGGGTATCTTGGCCCGCCAAAACACTACCAGGGCACCGGGGACTCTGCCTGCCACCACTGTTCCGAATCCTCGTGATCCTCACCAGCACCAACAGCTTGATGCCATCACTACCAGGAGTGGCAAGACCACATCAGCTGCTCCTGCCCAGCCCAGTCGAGATGAGCCACTACCTGCTTCAACACTTCCAGCTGATACTGCAGAGGTGGGGGAAGACACAGAAACGCCTGCTCCCAAGCCACAGCCAGTGGTTAAGGAGCATGTACCCTAGCTTCCTTTCCCCACTCGCCTACACAAAGACAAGCTGGAGACTAAGTTTGCCAAGTTCATGGCAATGTTCAAGCAGGTCAACATCAGCATGCCGTTCGTGGAGGCAATGTCAAAGATGGCCAAGTATGCCAAGTTCATGAAGGATCTCCTCACCAACAAGAAGAAACTTGGGGATCTTTCGACAGTGATGCTCAGTGAGGAGTGTTCTGCTATCCTGCAGAACAAGCTGCCCGAAAAGCGCAAGGACCCAGGGAGTATTACTATCCCTCTTACTATTGGGAGCATGCATGTAGGCAAGTCCTTGGCGGACCTAGGCGCTAGCATAAACGTCATGCCATATAAGTTGTATAAAACGCTAGACCTAGGTGAACTTAGCCCTACTAGGATGAGCATTCAGCTAGCTGATCGTTCCATTGTGCATCCTAGGGGAATCGTAGAGGATCTTGTGGTTAATGTAGGTGCATTCACATATCCTGTTGATTTTGTTATTCTTGATATACATGAGGATGTGGACGTGCCTTTGATTCTAGGTAGACCATTTCTTGCCACCGCCAAGGCACTAATTGATGTGCATGATGGTAAACTGATCTTGCGTGCTGGGAATAAACAGGCTACTTTCTCTGTGACTGAATTCGATCAATGTGCTATGATTGTTGTCACACCTGTGCATGTCATTTCTGATCAGGTACACGAGTCTGTCGTGTATCCTTCTGCACCTCCCATTTTGCAGGAGCCTCCTATCATTCCTTCGCCGCCACTCCGTCTAGTCTCGCCTCCGAACAAAAAGATCAAGGAGCAGTGGCGGCCGAAGCAGCAGGTTGCTAAACCTGCACGGAAGAAGGGTGGAGACCACTATGAGCTGGTTCCACCTCCTGCACCACGACCACCCTGGCCATCCGAGTACTCACTCGCCTGCATCTTGCCGGATGGCCAGGTCGAGCTGACCAATGCTGGTGGTCGCACCCGTCGGGTGCATGGCCACAACCTGATGCTGTACCTCAAGAGCGATGTGGATCCTCTCTTGGAGGCACCTGTTCCTACACCTCCCTGAGTATCCACCATTGGCGTCCAGCTAAAAGACGGCAAAGAAGCGCTTGTGGGGAGGCAACCCCACCACGGTTTGCATTTCTTTTTCCCTTTTTTCTGAGTTTTTGTGTCGTCTTGAGTCAGTTGTATGTCTGTGGTGAAGTTCGGTCGTCTTTTATGCCTCGATTTGGTGCTGTCGTGCAGGAGAGGTCGAAAATTTGGGCGAATGAGTTTTTTGGCCGGAAGGGGGCAAATACCCGGTCGTGGGACAAAATACCCGACCGGGTATTTTTGGTTCACGGTCGGACCCCCTTCTGTTTCTCGGGGTGAAAAAAATGAAAACCCCCGACCTGGTCCCAAAAATACCCGACCGGGTATTTTTGGTTCACGGCCAGGGATTTTCCAAAGTTCAGACGCTGCGTTTCAAGTACCCCGACCTTGGCCCAAAAATACCCGGCCGGGTATTTTTGGCTCAAGGCCGGGGATTCCCTTACCTTGGCACGCCGCGTTTAGGAACCCCCGGTTGTGGAATCAAAAATACCCGACCGGGTATTTTTGCTATTTATAGCAAACCCCCGGCCAGTTTCTCTCTCTACCCTCATTTTTCAAATTTTCCCCCTCTCTCTTCCTCTCCAATCCTCTCCCCTCTCTCTTCTTCGCCACCGCCGGCCGCCGCCCCTCGCCGCCACCGCCCTCCGCCGTGTTACCGCCGCCGCCCCTCGCCGCCGCCGCCGCCGGTCGTTTTCCGGCGACTTTTTGGCAACTTTCAGGCGGTTTTCTGGCCATTTTCCGGCGAGCCTCCCGGGTCATTTTTGCCTCTGTCTCGCGTCTCTCACCCGTTTTTTGTGCCTTAGCTATAGTTCTCCTTGCGTTTCCAGGTGTGTTTCTTATTACCTGTTCTTATATGGAAAATCGAACTGTAGATTGTAGGACCGAGAACTATAATTGCTTGCATGAGTTAGAATAGGGTGAGAGATGCTTTGAGTATGCATGGTTCTATATATGGTGTATGTGCTGCCCGTGTACTTATTGTGGTTGGTTCTGTGTTTCCTGCCTTGATTCCGGTTGGGTTGCTTGCGATTCAACCGTCTGTTGGTCTTGACAACTGTTAGCCTAGGTGCTCCTTAAGTGTGGGGGAAGTGATGAACCCATGCTGTTGGTCTTGACAAGTCTTTTCTTGGTTCCACCTTTGGTTTGTTGTTTTGCAGGAACATGTCCCTCGACCATCAGTTTGTGCAGGGCCTGAGCCTGCACCTAGATTACGTGGACCAGTTCCGCGCGGTGACTCGAGGGAAATTGGAGCGCCACCACCATCTAGAGTGGGCAGTGTTCGAGCAGCTCCACTACATGCAGGAGCTCTCCGCCGCCATCAGCCACCGCGATTGGCGGACGCTGCTGGCTATCGACGAGCCCACCTACACTGAGCTGGTGTGGGAATTCTACACCACCTTCGAGTACAACAGCAAAGCGGCTCAGGACTCCTCTGCAGTGAAATTCAGGCTAGGTGGCTATCCCCGGGAGCTGACTATTGACGGGTTGGCCTCCGCCTTGGGGATCCAGTATCACCCATCTTCCCGCCACGTGATCGAGGTCCCGAATCCAACATATTGGAACATGGATTATTTCTACTCGCAGATTGCCCGGTTCGCCTATGCATTCGACTACTTCGACGCTGGCCAAACGTACGTCCGCACCCTCAAGCCACAGTGGCATATCCTGAACTTGATCATCACCCGCTCCATCGTCCCCAACGTCACCGGCTCGCACAAGATTCCGAAGCGGGTGCTCTATTGTATGTTCTCGATGCGGGACCCGGATCACATGCTGCATTTGGGTTCCTTTGTGGCCACCACCTTCTCTCGATGCCACGGGAAGCCCAACCATCTCTACTGTGGTCCCCTGATCACCCGTCTAGCGCGCCATTTCAACATCAGCTTCCAGGGGCTCATGGACTCTTCTGCACAGGGCAGCTCCACCCCCCTCAGCCGGGACGTGCTCCATAATGCACTCCTCCTGACCAGTGATGGGACCCGCACCTGGGTGGATGGGCTTTCTCTGCCTCCTGATGAGGATGAGGATCTCGATGACGATGAGGAGGACGCTGACTATTCTGGCGCGGAGGAGGACGAGGATGATGATGATGATGATGGCGGGGCCATGGATGCCGATGAGCCGGAGCCCCCGCTCTCTCCACCAGGGGACCTTCGGCCACGACGGAGACCGGAGCGAGGTGAGACCGGAGCGAGGTGAGACCTCCTCTGGTCCTTCTGGTCCGTCGGCGACTTCTGGCCCGTCGATGGACTTCTTCACGGAGCAGTTCCAGCAGATGAGGCTCCAGTTCCAGCAGCTCGGTCTTCAGAACCAGCAGCTCATGGACCATCAGGTCCAGTTCCACCAGCAGTATTCGGCCCACCAGGCCGAGTACCAGTCCAGGCTGACGGTTATTGATGATTGCCTCGGCCGCTTAGAGACCCATATGGGAGTCACGGGTGCTCTCATCGAGCGGGAGAGAGATCGAGGCCGCCGATTGATGGAGTATTCGGAGCACCTGCTCCAGGCTTGCCACCCCCCAGAGGAGCACCACTGGACCACCCGATGGGATCATTCACCACCACCACCGGATGATGGATACGACGACCTCATGAACCAGATCGACTTCACCGGTCTAGGAGGCGGCTCCTAGTGCCATGTTTTGAGTGTGTTTGTTCTTGTTAGTGTGTAAACTGTCTTGTGTTGGTTGAGTTTCTTTCTTTTTATTTTGGATATTGTACTATTGGGCTGACCATTAGACCTGACGTATTGTGTTTGAGCTCTTTGGTTTCCTTTAGCTGTGCTTGTCTTGACTTGTCCTCTCTCCAGTCCGCTTCACTCCGACTGGTCCGCTTCCAGTCTTCTGCAGTCCGTGCATACCGGTAACATCGTTCCCCTTTCCTTCCCTCTTCTCCATTGAGGGCAATGTCGATCTTAAGTGTGTGGGGGATGTTTATCTTTTGACTGCATTAGATCTGTTTGTGTGCTTGGAGCCTAGTCCACTGTCCAAATTTTTAAATTTGAGGGCTCCAAGTACGTATTCCTTGCAATTGCCTGCTCAGTATGCTTTGAATTGACAGTCTTTATAGTAATATGCAACCTAGGGAGGTAGTGTAGCACTATGGAGGATGTTGATGCATTTAAGAAGTCTCATTTCTTCTTCA